CAAGGAATAATTAATAACTTAGAGCGGAAATAAGCAATATCTCCAAACGGAGTTTCTGAGAGGTAGAAGGTTCTTTAATTAGAGCGATTATTAAATGAGACCCACTAAAGTACTAAATTAACCGGACTGCTAGCAAGAATCGAGAGTGGAATAAAAATAAAAGCGGAATAAATTTTAAGATAATGAAACAGAAACTGAAAGCAAAAATATATACCGTTCTAGAATGCTTCGCAAACTATTGCTCCTTTGTAAAGCACGTGTTGTAAGTGTAGTAAAAAGATAAAATAATAAAGCTATAAAAATGACGAGCGTTGAAATCGAGAGGGGGAGACAGTGAGTTCTTAATTAATAAACTTAGAGCGTAATAAGGAATATAATATCTCCAAACGGAGTTTTCTGAGAGGGTGAAGGTTCTTTAGATTAGAGCTAATGATAAAATGAACCCACTAAAGGTACTAAATTAACCGGACTGCTATCAATAGAATCGAGAGTGGAAATAAAAATAAAAGCGGAATAAATTTAAGATCATCACACATTGATGCATCAACTCAATATACGTCGCAATTTCATAAATTACACTGCAACATTGACTTTTTTATTATCGCCGCGTATTTCAAACAAGTACAAATTCTACAAATTTTGAAGTGCTCATCTTTTTTTTACTTTTTAATCTTTTACCTATTAACCCATTGAAAATAAAAACCTTTAAGGTTATAAACAATCCTTGCATACTTACCGGTAGAGTCCTAAAATTGAATAGTTTTTTGAGATTTCCTTTACATTATATTTATGCATGTGCCCCACGGTATGAATTTCTTATTACCATTGATATTATATTATTTTTTGAGTAAACATTGTCTGTACCACGGCCTAAAAAAAAACACCATCGAAGAAGCGAACACTCCCGCTCTTTTTAAGATAAAGAGGAAAAGTTACGCTGCTAAATTTCGCTGTATAGACCTTGATATAGAGACCAATCTTCTCACGATCTCCTGACCAAGTACCTTTGGATAAAGTTCAAGCTTGATCAGGTTGCGGTGTGTCGAGGAAGTAAGATCCACTAGGGTGGAAGAAAGGAAACTTTAAAGCCTTAAGAACCAGGCCTTGCACAGAGGTTGAACTGCTCCCATCTTGTAATGGTCAATATTGTGACTCCTTCCTCCTTGACAGCTTATAGAGAGGGTGCTGCCACCTGAAAACATTCCTCATTTCTCAGAACTGTACATATGGCGACAAACCGTTAGACTACAGATAATGATCATATAACATGGAAATACTTGAGATTGCTATATCGAGAAAGAATTATGCTGAAAGTAATAGAGTATAAACGAGGAATACTTTTTCATGTTTCAGTGACCAAATGACGCCCCTACTAGTACTACATCAAACATTTATAACCAATAACATCGAACGTTACCGATAACCAACAACAGACTTCTAAAGATAAACCAGACTCATCTCCTATTAATATGAATACTTTTTTAGTATCAAGCGACTACGAAGCGGTGACAATGGAAGCAGCAAGGAAGGAAGCAGTGTTCCAAATAAACGAACAAAAATGACAATTCAAAAATTTCCCCCGCCCCTACTATTACCCTGACCTAGCCCCTAAAATTGTCGTTAGTACTTAACTCAGATATCATGTCTTTAGCACATAGTACTTACCTATAAATGTAAGTCCCTACCATAATAATATAAATTATAATACTAGATATCTTAAATGTAATTATACCATACAGGGGCGCGGCGGCGCTCGGGCGCTCAGCACTGTCATTTACAGTTATTTATGCGGCATTATGTGGACTTATAATCAATTGTGGGGGATTTCCAAAATCCATTAAGGACTTTTGTACCACGTCGTGACGCATACAAATAAATACCATAATAGCTAAAAAGGTCCACATAATGCCGCAAACATAACTTTTAAAATGACTCGTCCAGATCCATCTTTAAAATCCTTAAATTGGACACTACTCACTAGCTGAACTAGCTCTTAATTATCGATAAAAAATCTGTGTATCTGACTTCCAGCTCGCCATTTTTGAATTCAAGCAAATCAGGATATCCAAACGGTGTAGGAAGTTCATTCGTTAAAAACTGGTGTCAAGATATCATAGGCCCCTAAAATGACTTGTCCATATCAGTTTAACCTTAAATTAGACAGAACTCGTTGCTGAATACAATACCTTCTGAGTAAAAGGCTGTCATTAAACTTAATTGGATGATTGACCCCCAGCTGCAGTTTTTTGGAAATTCCAGATAATTTATGATATTCAGGGCTGTAGAATATTCTTTGTAAGACAGAACGTCCCCGTTAACAATATTTACATTGGCCCGAAAATGGCTCTTCCAGATCCAGTCCTCAATCATAAATTGGGCACAACTTACTAGCTTTTTGAAACTGTCATTAAATCTGTATGATGACCTCCAGCTGAAGTTTTTTGAATTGCAGATAATTGAAGATATCCAGGGCCTTCCAGGGGTTGGTGGAATTTTCTGCAAACGACCAAATCCCGTTGGAAAAAGCCAAAAACCGTAATTTAATTGCATATGGCAATTTGATTCCAGTGACCCTTGAGCTATTAAAGTTACAGGTTTTCTAGCTCACTTCCAATGACCCGAGATTAAAATCCAGGACATATGATATTGCTCTAAACTAAGTATTATTATGATATTACTCTAAACTAAGTATTATTATAATATTACTCTAAACTAAGTATTATTATAATATTACTCTAAACTAAGTATTATTATAATATTACTCTAAACTAAGTATTATTATAATATTACTCTAAACTAAGTATTATTATAATATTTATACTCTAAACTAAGCCTTATTATAATATTTATACTCTAAACTAAGTATTATTATAATATTTATACTCTAAACTAAGTATTATTATGATATTGCTCTAAACTAAGTATTATTATGATATTGCTCTAAACTAAGTATTATTATAACATTACTCTAAACTAAGTATTATTGTTATGATATTGCTCTAAACTAAGTATTATTATAATATTACTCTAAACTAAGTATTATTGTAATAATATTGCTCTAAACTATGTATTATTGTAATAATATTACTCTAAACTAAGTATTATTATAATATTATTCTAAACTAAGTATTATTGTAATAATATTACTTTAAACTAAGTATTATTATGATATTACTCTAAACTAAGTATTATTGTAATAATATTACTCTAAACTAAGTATTATTATAATATCGCTCTAAACTAAGTATTATTATAATATTACTCTAAACTAAGTATTATTGTAATAATATTGCTCCAGGGGATCTTGTACGCACACTAATCAACACGGAGTGCACACTTGGTCTGTCAACCTTGGTAAAGCCTACAAAGTGGATCATATTAAGTTCTGGGGACGAACTGACGCTGCACAGGACCGGATAAAATGGGTCAACGTAGGTTCACTTTTATTATACATTATACATTATACATTATACATTATACATTATACATTATACATTATACATTATACATTATACATTATACATTATACATTATACATTATACATTATACATTATACATTATACATTATACATTATACATTATACATTATACATTATACATTATACATTATACATTATACATTATACATTATACATTATACATTATACATTATACATTATACATTATACATTATACATTATACATTATACATTATACATTATACATTATACATTATACATTATACATTATACATTTATTATACTGTGCTTGCTTAAATTTATATCTCTTTGAAATATTCTTCATTCGCTGTTGATCCCTCAAGTTAAAATCTTTTGATTTGTCATATTTTGAATTTATTCCTTCCCAAAAATGTGTAAGAATGATAAATAAACGGTTCAGGTATTCGTGGGACGCACAAAGATCGGTTACCTTGATGAGGAAGGGTACGGAGCTGGAATGCCGTATGTACTACAAGCTACCAACTCCGAGCGTGAGGTATACGGTAAAATCGTCAGATTTGAGAGACTTGCTAACTACCTTACCCTCTGTGAGGTCCAAGTCATGGGTTAGTAACATATTCATTATTCAAAAAAAAACATATTCGTTATTCAAAAAATTAAAATTTTAAAAATTAATAAAAAAACATATTCATTACTCGCAGCTTTAACCATTTCTTTCGTTAACATTAACAAGAATTGCGCCCGTTGTTTCGTTTTGGCGGACGCTAGATTTCCATTTCACATTTACTATATATATTTAAGTATAAGTATACTATAAGTATATACTATATAAATTTAAGTATAACTATAAGCTCCAATCAGCTCACTTCAATCTTCATGATAATAATATTGATCAATTATGCATCAAATACGGGAAACACTTGAAATTCAGTTCAATTGCCATAGAACTTAACTTGTATCTGTAATTCAAGAAATTATCAGCAAAGGTAAACTATTATATATTTGTAGCGCGATGCACTACTGGGTCGCGCGCGCATCAAATAATGCTTCTCGCAACCAACGCTTCTCGCAACCAACGCTTCTCTACCTTCGGTACACGGTAGATCGGCGAGATGCACCACTGTGCCTCACCGAGCTGCGAAGGATTGACATCGTGAATCAATTATATATACTCGTGTACACATCAATACACTACGCGTGCCACGTACAAATTGGGTGTATTACCTAATAGTAATATTATACATTACATGCATCATATACACAGTCGCGCCGCGCATTCATAGATCACAGGCTATCTATACATCACATCTCCGCAAGCAATCCTCGCGCGCGCCCAACTTTTTCGTTGCATGGTAACGAACGAACACACGACATATTTAAACCCACCTATCTCGTTCTCCAAAATCCACGTTTTTCTGCAAAAACCTCCATTCGTAACCTTTCACTATTGCCTTTTTTCAAAAGGGTGAAAAGGAAAAAATAAACGAGCATTATTTAAGCTCTCCTTTCTATTGATCACCAAATTATGAAAATTAAATCGATTTCTATTTCAGTAAAGAACGAAGATTTGTTGGAGGAGGAAATGCCCACGACATTCCCTGAGTACGAGAACGTGGCTCGGAACAAACCAACCAACCAGTCATCCACCGCTCACGGTGGCGAGTCTAAGAGGGCTGTAGATGGTTACATGGCCGAGGGGGCTGTTAGCTGGAACGGGTAAGAGCGCGTCTGAAATTGCTCTGAAACAGTTTTGGGTGTTTTTCAATGATTGAATCGGAAACTCGACGTTAGGAAGTGTAAACTTTTTTGTCAATTTCAGCTGTAGTTTTTTTAGCTGACAATTGAGTCACCTTGATCTATTTTCATATATATTTTCCCCAAATTAACGATCACATATATTTCAGACAATCTTGTACTCACACCAACAGAGCTGCCTTGGAGTACTGGGAAGTGGATCTAGAGCACGAGTACCACATTGATTACATCAAGATCCTGGGAAGAAGTGACTGTTGTCGTGAGAGGATGGGAGGTGCCGTGGTCAGTTTTAGAAGTTGTATTTCAGTATTTGTTCATGATTGGTTTGATGATTGCAATGGTCATATAAAACACTGCTAAGCATAATATAAGTTTTATTTTTTTAGTGTTGTTATTCAGCTTCATTGAAAACTTTAAAACCATGATCAGATTAAAATGGACGGAAAAACAGTTGCTGGTCTGAGTTACTACACAAATCAGTTGGAATGGACCGTCCCAATGAACTATGCTAAGGGGCGCAGGCTAACTGTCACTCAAACAAGCCAAATTCTTACTATTTGCGAGTTTGCTGTCTATGGTAGGAGTTGTTTTCTGTAAAGGCTTTTTTCAATGTATCTTCCATTCATCGAATTTTAAACTTTTAAACAGTCCGACCTTGTTGAGTTACTGCGTGTTAACTTGAAAGAAAAACAAACCATTTGCATTTAACGTGGAACTATGCATTCTTTTTCAGTTGATCACAATTACGACCCAACCACGGACACTGAAAACCAGTTGGATCTAACAGAAGAAAACCTGGCTCTGAAGAAAGTTGCCACCTCCTCCAGCGTCATGCTAGGAGGTGAGGCTGGTAACGGGGTGGACGGAGACAGCGAGGGCAACTACTACAAGTAAGCTTACTCAGATTTACTGGGCCGCGCTCAGCCTGTCATTCCGCCGAATCTTTATTTAATATTTAATAGCCTGGGGTCCCCAGGTAAACTTAGATCTGCTTGATGTATCATAAATAGTGATATTATAAAAAGTATACTGTTTGAATGGTGACTGGTACTATCCAGTATGTAAGCTTACCGATGTTCCTGCGGCTGCAGGTTCCTTCAATCTTTTGTCAGCAGCAATGGAAACTACTAATCACAATGTCCTCTTTTCCTCTTCAGAGGTTCGTGTGTATCAACGGGAGTTCAGCAAGGTGAGAGCTGGTGGATGGTGGATCTAGTGGACTCTCACAGTGTGGGACACGTAATAGTTTACCCCAGACTCGACACTAATCTTGCTGCTAATCTTGACGGCGCAGTGGTATGTTTTTATAGTTTACCCCAGACTCGACACTAATCTTGCTGCTAATCTTGACGGAGCAGTGGTATGTTTTTACCACAGTGAAACTGTTTATGCTTGAGAAGGAATCTTACCAATCACCTGACCGGAATTAGTATGAGCTATTGACCCGTAGGACCTTTAACGTCGCCTCTCATTGCTAATTCTCGTAGTAACAATTTGATAGTTTAAAATGTTTATAATCATTTTGGTCCTTTTGTTGGTTGTTCGATAATGATATTGATAGCCGCTATTTCGTATAACTTACTGTAGAAAGAGGACTTTGTTGCTCATTTAAAATAAAACCAGTGAAATAATTACTAAATGCATCTAAAATATTATAGCTTGGCGAAGTTAACGTTCAGCAGAATACTTAACTAAAATGTCACCCTCAGCCCCCCCCCGCTCCCCCCCCCCCCCCCCGGCCCTCACTAATACAAAATTACTCAGGTTTCAGTTGGGGAGCATGTTTGCGGTACCATCACGTTCGTGGAGAACAGGCAGTGGTACAGATTAGACTGTAAGGGACAAGCTGGTTCCAGTGTGAGCGTGAAGAAAGAAACTGGGCACCTACAGTTTTGCGAGGTTATCGTTCAAGCAGCCGAAGATTAATAGAGTGTAAGGAAAACGTGTTTTGTCGGACTTTTGAGTGTTGAAGTCATGACATGAAGGTGACCTCAGAAATGTTTGTTTATCATTTAATGATAGTGTTCAAATTTGTAAATTATGGATAATTCTTCTGCCTGATCCGTATAAACTATAATAATAATGTTAGTTGAATTTTCAGTTTAAAGTTTATCAGTAAAATTCTTAATATCATATCGTAGATTTTGAATATGATCAAACGTAATTTGTCTGACTTAGTAATACACAATATACATATCATAGTGCTGGCAAGCACGACCGTTCACCATTGCTCTTATATACTGTATACTATTAAAATACCTGTGCTGTTGTACCCCTTTAATATTTTTCCAGGCATTTACACTCATCAGAAGTTGTTCAGCAGGGTTATTTTTAGTTCAAAACATTTTCATTCAATATAAAATATGACAGAAATAATAAATGGTTAATGGTTATGTGGAGATTTTTAAGAAATTTGCATGAAGGGTCGCAGTTCTCGGTATCATTTTCCATTTTCGGACGGTCATTCAAATTAATATCATTTCCTTTTGTTTGGGAAAGAGAGACACTGGCAGCGGTCCACTCTACCCAATCATGGGTTTTGGTCAAATATCATCTCTTTTTGATTATAATGTCAGGGTACTTTACTAAGTCGAAATGTAAATTCATAACTAACGAAATTTTACCTTTGAAAACATTTCCTTGTGTTTAGGTAAACAAATCTGTCGATCACTGACTGAATATGCCACTTTATACTCATTCAAATTAGCATTAAATTCGTATATAATGCCATTTAACTGTCGTGGGAAAGCAAAATTTGTTCGAAATTACGAAAAATTCGCACCTTTCGCACGTGCAAACTTTGAGCGGACGTTGCATGCGTATCCAAAATTTAATCACCGTTAATTTTTGCATATTCGTAATTTATATTTACAGTTTGATATAGTTTGACAAGCTTGCAAAGTTTCAAAAGATTTAAAAATGAAGTTTGATCACAACGGCAATCCGAAGTTGACAGAAAATAGTAAAAATAGCAATTTTCAGTGATTTTAGCAATTTTATGTCAATTTGGGCGTGTCCCCACGTGTGCAACTTTTTGAATTTTAATTCAGTACGTGATTTTTCGTTAATCGCGTGATCAGCTAATTGCGTGATCATCACTGCCCGTTTTCAATAATCAAGTATGAATTGGTGTGCAAGAGAGAAATTTATCGCGCTGAATGAAACTTTCAAAACATGCCATTTTAAATTGTTTTGTAACGCAACTATCGATATTCTTTGTAAGGTTTACGTGGATATGCGTATCACTTAAGCCTTTATTTACAGATAACAGCATTAGTTATGTAGAGTCTGATCTCATAATTTGTTCATAGAAAATCTAGACGAGATTCACGATCAAGCGGACTCGGGTATAGGATTAGGACACGAGGGCGGAAGACACAAGGATGGAGGAAAGTAAAATAACATTTAAAATTAGAAGACTTTTTCCTGGAAAATCAGCGGTAGTAAGAATGATAGCACGGTGTTTCTATCTATCAGTTTAACAGTACTTGTTACAACAGAAGTATTTAATAACGTATATATCGCTTTAAACAGTTAAAGCTTTAACTGATCCATCCCTTGATAAAGCGCGACATTTTTCTTTAAACCTTCAAAAGCTTTTTGCAAGTTCCAACAATTTAATGCATAGTAACAAAAAATCACGTACTGATCGTTGTTAATTGCGTGATCATCACTGCCCGTTCTCAATAATCAAGCATGAATTGGTGTGCAAGAAAAAAATTTATCGTGCTGAATGAAACTTTTAAAACAAAATGAATTCTCTTCGATGCAGTGTTCATCCAATCAGGAATCAGAAAAAGCGAAGATCTGAAAATCATGCCGATTTATTGACCACATGAAGTTGAACAGTATACCGTGCGAATGCAGCTAAACAACTGTAAGCGTAGCTAAAACTCAAGACATTGATAATATGCAGTGCATGCCATTTTAAATTATTTGATCCAATAAAAGGGCCGTTTAGCGTTGAAGATACAAATATCTGAAGTACTGTTTTCGAATTTGTTAGATCATATGCATAGATGCATTAATCACAATGCTGGCAAGCATTACCGTCGCCCTTATATTCACAATACTATTTACCCCCTATACTAGTATATCCCCTTTATTGTTTTCCAGGCATTAAGACTCATTGAAAGTAGTTCAGCAGGTATATTTAAGTTCAAAACATTCTAATTCAATGTTAAAGATGACAGGAATAAGAAATAGTTATGTGGAGGTTTTTAAGAAATTTGAGCAAAATATATACGCGCCAGCTTGTTATACGAAATTAGGTAAAAACCCAAAATCGCCATATTCAGGTGCCTTAAAAACCATGTTAAAATTGAGTTAGAGATCTGAAACTTTGCAGGGCGTCTAGACCTTGTCCAAATCGACTGTAAAAAAATTTCATGTTTCAGGAGTATTGGGAAGTGTGTTTTCTGGAACCCCTGCTTTACAACAGATTGTCGTGAAGTATATATATATATTTGACCAAAACCCATAATCATGGGTAGAGTGTACCGCTGCCAGTGTCTCTCTTTTCCAAACAAAAGGAACGGATATTAATTTGAATAACCGTCCGCAAATGCAAATTGATACCGAGAATGAAATCGGTCGCTCGCTTTTTCCAATCAATAAGCTTTATTACAATTCGTGAGCCGTGATCGAATGGAAAAAGCGAGCGAGAGAGAGAGAGAGAGAGAGAGAGAGAGAGAGAAAGAGAGAGAGAGAGAGAGAGAGAGAGAGAGAGAGAGAGAGAGAGAGAGAGAGAGAGAGAGAGAGAGAGAGAGAGAGAGAGAGAGAGAGAGAGAGAGAGAGAGAGAGAGAGAGAGAGAGAGAGAGAGAGAGAGGTATAGAGAAAGAGAGAGGTATAGAGAAAGAGAGAAAGAGAGAGAGAGGAAGATAGAGAAAGGGAGATAGAGAGAGAGGGATAGAGAGAGGGAGAGAGAGAGTCAGTCCTAGTATGTACGATACCTTCTCTGTCCTTCTCCTCCTCTTCAGTCCTCATACTCCTCCTCCTCAGTCCTCGTATGTACGATACATTCTCAGTCCTCCTTATCCTCCTTTTCCTCCTACTCAATCCTCCTCCTCCCCAGTCTTTCTCAGGCCTCCTCCTTATCTTCATCCTCCTCCTCTTCCTCCTCCCCAGTTCTCCTCCTCTTTCTTTCCTCCCCAGTCCTCCTCCTCTTTCTCAGTCCTCGTGTGTACGATACCTTCTCAGACCTTTTCCTCGTCCTCCTCATCAGTCCTCCTCCTCCTTCTCAGTTTTCCTCGTCCTCCGTGTCTTTCTCCTCGTCCTCCTCTTTTTCAGTCCCTCTCAGTCCTCCTCAGTCCTCCTCTTCCTCAGTCCTCGTATGTACGATACCTTCTACGACCTTTTCCTCGTCCTCCTCATCAGTCCTCCTCCTCGTCCTCCTCCTCAGTTTTCCTCGTCCTCTGTGTCCTCTGTGTCCTCCTCCTCTTACTCAGTCCCTCTCAGTCCTCCTCCTCAGTCCTCGTGTGTATGATACCTTCTCAGTTCTCGTATTACATTTAAATTTGTTTGACATCGTATACGTTTAAAAGACTCGACCTTATAAGTTTAAATAGGTCCTATAGTGCAGTAATTAGAAGATATTGCTTGGTTAAATTGTTGTTTTCTTGATATACCGAACGATATTTTTCATAAATATAGTGATTTTCATCCCTTTTATGTTATTAAAAAATATGTAGACTATTCTTTGTACCTAACTGAGGATTAAAAGTATGAGAAAGGACCATTGTCATTAAGGCCAGAGGGGGGGGGGGGGTAAAAGTCGATTTTCCAGTTTTCACATATTTGTTCAGAGCTGCTGGAGACGAACAAGAAGAAAAAGACCGGACCGAAATCTGACCTTGCGTTTTTAAGATATCGCGCGCCAAATATTGAGGTTTACCTGTAATTACATGTAAAACTTTGATGTTTGCCTCTGTTCTGGAGATATGAGGTTAACTTTACCCCAAATTCGACATTTTTCGAAAAATGGGGTAAAGTTAACCTCATATCTCGAGAACACAGGCAAATATCAAAATTCTGTGCAATAGAATTGTGGGTGACAGCCCAAGGAACAACTGTGCCAAGTTTCAGCTTCTGGGTGTGGCCAGTATTCTCAACTAAGGGACTTTTAACTTTTTACAGTTTAAGTTAAAGTTTTACATGTAATTACAGGTAAACCTCAATATTTGGCGCGCGATATCTCAAAAACGCAAGGTCAGATTTCGGTCCGGTTTTTTTCTTCTTGTTCGTCTCCAACAGCTCTGAACAAATATGTGAAAACTGGAAAATCGACTTTTACCCCCCCCCCCCCCCTCTGGCCTTAACCGTGCTACCCATATCAGCAGATAGCCTGTTACAAATTATGGAGACAATTTATATCAAAATCAAAATTTTTGTCCGTTTTGGTACCCTATTTTCTGAAAACGGACAAAATCGCACGGACAAAAAAAACATGAGCCCCCCTCTCTCTATCCCCTATCTATCTCCCTGTACCTGTTCCTCTCTCCTCTCTCTGTCCCTCTCTCTCTCTATCTATCTCCCTCTCTCACGAGCTCCCCCCTCTCTGTCCCTCTCTGTCCCTCTGTCAATTTCTTTCCATTCATGTCTCTCCCTGTCCCCTCTCTCTATCCCTCTCTCTCTATCTCCCTCTCTCTCTATCTTCCTCTCTCTCTTTCTCTCTTTCTCTATTCCTCTCTCTCTCCCTCTCTCTTTCTCTCTTTCTCTCTTCCTATCTCTCTCTCTCTCTCTCTCTCTCTCTCTCTCTCTCTCTCTCTCTCTCTCTCTCTCTCTCTCTCTCTCTCTCTCTCTCTCTCTCTCTCTCTCTCTCTCTCTCTCTCTCTCTCTCTCTCTCTCTCTCTCTCTCTCTCTCTCTCTCTCTGCATCTCTCTCTGCCTCTCTCTCGATCCAACCGTTCGATCCAACCGTTCTTTCTAACCGTTATTTCTAACCTTTCGATCCAACCGTTCGATCCAACCGTTGGATCTAACCGTTGGATCTAACATCTAACCGTTGGATCTAACCGTTGGATCTAACCGTTCTTTCTAACCGTTGGATCTAACCGTTGGATCTAACCGTACGATCTAACCGTTTTGGTACCCTATTTTCTGAAAACGGAAAAAATCGCACGGACAAAAAAAACATGAGCCCCCCTCTCTCTATCCC